GGGGGGGGGGGGGGGGGGGGGGGGGGGTGGGAATGCAAATTTTCATCCTGTTTAGGCCCAACCCAGAAGACTACTCAATATCTGAAAAGGGCTGACCCCAGCTTGCTTGCTTGCTGTGTATTGGGACCCCTCAAATTTAAGGCTGAATCCGAATTCTTCTCGCCCAATTTTCCCTGAAATTCAACATATCAGAAAACCCCTCCAGATTTTTTGTTCTAATAAAACAATGACCTCATCAATCTATTTGATGATGGTAACAGCAACCCAATTTCCCAAAATTCTCCAATGTTTTAGGAAGTAGCTTATTAGTCTAAACCAGATATGGAAAGGCATATTAGAGGATAGGATACAGCACACTTCTAACTGAGTTTAATGCTCCAATATAATCTGGTTTGTAATTTTCCCTGGAGCACTTCAGCTGCTTGTCTTTTTCGAAACAATTTTGAATTACTTCCAAAACTTGACTAAATTGAGGATGAGCAGAATTGGTGAGATATGAACTACTGTGAACTACGGGGAAAAATGTTTGAGAAGATATACGCGTCTGACATGTTTTAAGTCATGGTCGTGGATGGTCATAGAAGATGGAGCCCCTTATTTATTTATTTATGGAAAGGATAGCAGAAGTTTCCAAGTCACCCCAAATTTCTAGAGAGTGGAATAGCCATGAATCAAATGTGACTATTACAGACTAATCCTCCCTTCTTAATCCTGTCTGTGATTGATAAAGCTTGAAATTCCATGTCCATGGCGTCTTCATCTTTAGGTTTTATCTTTGCTCTTTCTGCTATTGCTTCCATCGTCACCCACCTCGTTGTTTTGTCTGAAGCTCAAAATCCAACTCAACCCACCACCGATCCTGATCAAGGTTCTCTCTCTCTCTCCTTTTTCCTCTCCCTCCTTTAGTGTGTTTGGAGGAATGAGCTATATGATGCAAGCTACACTTTACTTTCGTTCAATTCAACTGAACTCTTTTGTTTGTTCGTAAATTAAGCTTATTTATATTCGTTTTTTGTGAGGATCACCAACGAGTCAAGTCTGAAAAACTTTACTTAAACAACTACATTGGAATGGATTGATTGACTTGTGAGTAATATTTTTGTGTGCAGCAAGAGCTTTGAATTCCATATTTAGTCAATGGAAGATATCGGCGCCATCAGGGGTGTGGAATATAAGCGGGAATCTGTGCAGTGGGAGGGCAGTCAACACTACCACGCCCATTGACAGCTATGGAAACCCCATTCCTCTTATAAAATGCAATTGCTCAGCCAACAATGGTGCAACTTGCCTCATTACTCAACTGTAAATCTCTCTCTCTCTCTCTCTCTATGTGTGTGTGTGTATCTATCACATTGCATTTGAAGTGCTGGAGCAATTAGAATTTGTAACATATGTAATTTTAAGAAAATAAATAAAAGATATTTGAAAAAATGAAAAAAAGAAGGAAGGTAAGCAGAATGGCACGCACGCACGCACGCAAGTTGGAGAAGATGACCGTACAGTCAACGGTTAGTTTCTCAACCTTCTGTTTAACGAATTTGAAACTCGCAATTTTCATTAGTTTTATTGTTTTGACTTAATTTAGGGCATATTGAGGAATTTCGAAGAAATTTAGAATATCTTCAAAGACTTCAAAACAAGCTCGGAAAGTCTACAATCAAGTAAGTAACCATATAGAGCAAGTTTCTAAGAAATACTTGTAGGAGTCAATTAGGATTGAGGACAATAATTGAGTATTATGTTTAGGAACCTAGTTTGACCTAGTCTCATGATAATTGTGCTTTGATGATGTGAATAGTTTACTAGTTAATTATATTTACCGTCATACAGCTTCCGCATGCATGGCATAGAGTGCTAATAATGGTTTCCATAGACTATGAGTTATTTTTCACGTACTTTGGTCCTACCACTTAGTCATGAGTTCCATAGCCTCTTGGGTTGACCAAGTACCTTGTAGGGACAAATGGGGTGCAACCCATATTCGTAAACTAACCAACAGAAGTTAGGGTCTACTTGTTACACATGACTTAGTTGTCACCCATAAAGGATATCAATAGTCATAGAGAGTATACTACTCAATTCATATCAGTGGTGCCTAGTAGGAGTGCCATGACCTTTTTACTGACCCAGCTCGAGTGGTGTTGATACGAACCAAGAGACATCAATCATACAATATGCTTCAATGAAGATATGAAGAAAATATTGTTGAAATTATCAAAAGATATATCAATTCATGCCACGTTGAAGAAGAATGAAGTTTCATCTTATAAATTTTGGGTGGATTACAATTCAGAGTAATTTAGATTTATTGTATTTCATTAATGTATTTTAAGACATTTAATTTACTTTAGGTTACAATTACATAATGGTTAATTATGGCCATTAAGTATGAATGTTACAACTCTTGGAATGCCTTTAGTAATTTCATTTTGAGGCTATATAAAGCCATGTATGTTGTATTTGTAGGGAGACTTGGAAAATATAGTAAAAGAAGCATTTGTGCTTTTTTTTTAGCCAATGGCTAAGTTTATTTGCAATTCTATGTAGTTTAGGTTGCATGTAGAATCATTCAAGCTCGACATGATCAATCTTGCTTGTGGAGTGATTCGAATCTCAAACAAGTGCTTGAGATATTTGATCAACAAGAATCATTCAAGCTAGACATGATCGATCTTTCTTGTGGAGTGATTTGAATCTCAAACAATGTTCTTGTCTTGAGATATTCGATCAACAAGGTAATCCGAATCTTACTCCCCTTGTAGTGGTTCCTTATCATATCAGGTGTAGTGACATGTAATTTTACTGTTCTAGCCTGGAAGAGTGTAGTGATAGGTAGTTTAATGTTCTAGCCTGAAAGAGGCAAAGTAATAGGTAGTTACTGTTTCTAAGATGGGTAGTTTAATGTCCCAGCTTGGAAAGGGTATAGTGACAAGTAGTTTTACTGTTCTAACCTGCTGAGGGTACATGGGCAGGTAATTACTGTTCTAGCCTGGAATGGGCGTAGTGACAAGTAGTTTACTGATCTTAGGAACATGTAGATGTTGCCCGACACCATTAGGGAGAATCTACTAATTAGAGCTCAGTAGGGAGATAGGTATGGAGTACAGTCACTGTTTAGAGCAGAAAGGGCTCTTTCCATATTGATGGGTATTACCTTAGGCCTTTTCATGGGCGGGTGACTCGAGGTACTCCTCCCACAAGACTGATGAAGGACCTAGACATACGTGACACCTAGAGCCAAGAAAACAAAAAACCCTCGGTTGTGAACATGAGAGGGATTGAGTACTCCTTAAAGGAGGTACGCTGAGGGTAGTTGTACAGTGACTACCAAGTTTGGTATAGCCGTTTAGCCACAGTTTGGGTGATCGTTAGAACAGTTATGAGCACATAGCCAAAGTTTATGTGTATATGATTAAGTTCGATAAGAGGCTACAAGTAGGTTGCTTACTGAGTATTTTTATTCTCATTCCATGTTATTCTATATTTTTCAGATGAAGTGTAGACCACTGTTGATGGCGGGAGCGTGTGGAGCCGTGCAGCTGCAGGGGTGCCTGTTAGATCAAGTCTTCTTCCTTTTTGTCATTTTCCTATTATTTTAAAGCTACTCCTCGAAACTTGTGTATTTTTTGTAAATTGTTTTGATTCGACTCTGTGGATATTACTTTAAACTACTTTTATGTCGGTTTTGAATGCATATTTAAAATTTAAATTCCTTGAGTCTCCCGTTTTACAAAAGAAAATTTTATCTTCCTTTTTACCCTTGAGTATACATGGCAACCTGTGATTTGAGGTATCGAAAATCAGGTCGTTACATAATTAGTTTTCCTTACGATTGCCTCAAGCATTCCTATTCTGCATATGCGATTGTTGGGACTTGAGTTTTGTTGTAGAAATCCAGAATCAAATTGATGAATAAAACTAATGTATAGTTTGGACGTTCGTTTCTAACCACTTCTTAGCGATATACATGGACTAATAAAATAGGGTCAGACTTGCAGGAGTTTATACATGTATATCAATAACTTTGCAATGTTCGCAGATAGAAAAAAAAAAAAAAAAAAAAAAAAAAAAAAAAAAAATTTTT